TAATTGTATTAAAAAATGACAACTATAACTTCTAAATTACATATGAAGACTAGTCGTAGGTAAACTTACTAACCTTATAAAATTAACGTTGTGAATGTCGTAACGGTTTAATGATCTGTGGAATGGTTCAAGTGCTAACCGCAAGGACACACGAAAGTAGCGGTTGGCATTGTCTTTGGCTGGATTTATTAATTTTAGTTTTTGAGACAGTTCCATGTTGAAATGCGCGTGAGAGACAGTTCCATCATTTTGTTTATGAAATTTTTGTTACGTTTTGTGTTTCTTGTTTTATTTTAATAATAGCTAACTCGTACGTTTATAGTGCTTGTGAATACGGCACATGGCACATACGGTACATGTTAATGTGCCTTGGAAAAGCTCGCGGGAATTTTTCGCGTGTATTATGAATTTACAATTTTATAACGTACCGCTAAATTGTTAAGGCGTTGAGATGGAACAAGTGTGTCATACGGGACAGTTCACAAGGTGTTAAAGTGTAACGCCCATACAAAGTGTACAAAGTGCAAGCTTTAGTTCCCGGCGATCACGACTGCCGGCAAGTTTGCTGCCGTTAGTTATTAGACTAGCAACAACATGTGCTTGGTTTCATTGAGCACGTCATCTGGACGGATGAGTCGACATTTACCAGAAACGGCATATGGAACCGAATTTAAGGAATTAAAATTTAAGGATTTCGATTGGTAAGCTGTTCATACCTATTTTTTAAATAACTTAGTACTGATCCGATCTGAATAGGTACATAACTGAATACATCAGAATAATAAACATACTTACACGATAGATAATTTAAGTAAATTTTTCACTAGCGGGGAATCGAACCAGCTATTTTGTTTATTTAACCTGTGAATTCGAATTAAAGTGGAGACTAGCACAGTGGCAAAATAGTAGGTTAAGTACTCGTAGATAAGTTAGGTTTTTAGACAGAGGATGTAAATTATTAGGTATTGGTACGATCGCTGGCGGCACATGATAATGGAGAAGATAACCATATTTTGTTTTATATGCCAAAAAATTCTACAAAAAATTACGGGAATAACTGTGTTTTTAATTTTTTTCTATCTTCAAAACTGACCGAGATATAAAGGGGCAAAGTTAACATTTTCGGTCTTAGCCGCGGGCCGAGAGTGACATCGTTGATGACGTCACGATTTCCATCTTCGTGCGAGCGACCCGACGCGCACTTAGGAAATCAAAACATTTACTCAAATGTGCCCGTCGTTCGCGGATCTACTTGCTATCTATTCTCTACATCCATCTATTAAATATTGTGCTGTGCCTCAATGTAAAAATACGGCCACAAAAACACCTGAAAAGTTGTTTTTTAATGTGCCTAGAACTAGAAACCCTACCATCAGAAAAAAATGGACAAATGCTATGAGAAGAGCACATATTTAGGACCAAACACGGTAGCATATTGTTGTGAGGATCATTTCGATGTAAGTATTCAAATAGTCTTTGCCTGGCGTATGTGGACTATGAGAAAGCCTTTGATTCCGTCGAAATTTGGGCGGTGCTACAGTCACTTCAGCGGTGCCAAGTTGACTGTCGGTATATCGAAGTGCTGAAGTGTTTGTACAGTAGGGCTACGATGGCTATCCGAGTACAGAACCAGAGCTCGAAACTTATCCAACTGCAGAGAGGTGTAAGACAGGGTGATGTTATATCCCCGAAACTCTTCACCGCTGCGTTGTAAGACGTTTTCAAGCTACTGGACTGGAAAGGATACGGTATTAACATCAATGGCGAGTACATCACTCACCTTCGATTTGCCGACGATATAGTCCTTATGGCAGAATCGCTAGAGGACCTTAGCACTATGCTCAATGACCTCAATGGTGTCTCCCAACGGATAGGTCTTAAGATGAACATGGACAAAACAAAGATCATGTTTAATGTCCATGTCACACCTATGCCGGTAGTTGTTGGGAGCACTATGCTCGAAGTTGTTGACGAGTACGTTTACCTAGGACAAATAGTTCGACTAGGTAAGTCCAACTTCGACCGAGAGGTCAATCGACGGATTCAACTCGGCTGGGCAGCGTTCGGGAAATTACGGCACTTCTTCTCGTCAGGTATACCCCAATCTCTAAAAACTAGATTGTACAACCAGTGCGTGTTGCCAGTGAAGACATACGGATCGGAGACGTGGTCTTTCACTGCTGGCCGTATGAGGACGCTCAAGGTCGCTCAGCGAGCTATGGAGAGGGCTATGCTCGGAGTTTATCTGCGTGATAGACTCAGAAATGAGGATATCCGCAGTAAAATCAGAGTGACCGACATAGCCCAACGGATTAGTAAGCTGAAGTGGCAATGGGCCGGCCATATAGCTCGATGGGGAAGAAAGGTTCTCGAGTGGCAGCCTCGTACCGGTAGGCATAGTGTAGGGCGACCCCCCACTAGATGGAGTGACGATCTGGTAAGACATGCAGGAAGTCGATGGATGCAGGTGGCTCAGGACCGTGCTTTGTGGCATTACTTGGGGGAGGCCTATGTTCAGCAGTGGACTTGTGAAGGGCTGTAATGATGATGATGATGATTCAAATAGTAATAACCTTCACATGATAGCTCTTGGTTATTGCTAATAAATGCTTTCTATTACGCATGTAGGTACCTACCTACTCGAGTCGCAGTGTTTAAGTAACTAACGATTCATTGAACCTATTCTACTAACTAACGATTCATTGAACTTATTCATTGAACATATTTAACTAAAACTACTTCAGTGTAAATAAACATCCAAACTTGAGTAAAGTACTTACCTATGTAATGTAGATAAGTCAATGACCTGTCGTGAGTTCGTAAGTTTAGATACATACCTATGTTTGCAGCAAATTTTAAAATGTTTATAATGCATATTAAGGTTAAGATTTGGAATATGTTAACAAATGTTTTTATATTTTTACGATATTTCGAGCAAAAACTAAACACATCGCAGAGCTGTTCAACCTGCAGACTTTTGCGGGCCGCAAATAATGGAAGAAGTTTGATTATGAAGTGGAGCACTTAAATTTTTTTTTCGTGTTGTCCTATTTTTATGTATTACATAGTTATAGATATTTTAAATATTGATGGAATACAAATTACGAGGTTCCTTATTTTTTTATAGACTAAATAAGTTTGTATTTTGTTCTAGGTCGAAAACGATATGGAAAACTACGTGAAGTGCAAACTAGTTGGTGGTCCCCTCAAACTTAAAAAAGATGTTTTGCCTCACAAGTTTGCTTGTCAAAATCGGTATACAGAAAAACCACAAAGATGTTTACTATCAAAACTAAATGCCAAATCTAGGTCAGAAACAGTTGCACATGCGATTGCCACTACTTCACAGGAAATTGAGCATAGATATGTTGTCGATCCTGTTACTACTCTAGATGATAATATTGACATTGATCCCTTGTCTGAAGAATATATATCTACGATTTTAATCATAATAATATTGCGACCCTTTTTCTATTAATATTGAAAACATCTGATTTTTAGATAAAATCATGTTTTTACACACCGAAGGTAAATTTGTAGTAAATTTCTTTATAAATAACAGGAATTTTTTTTAACCATAAAAAGGTCAGGGTGCACTTAAGAATAAGAAAACAAAACTAGTTAGAGGCAGATAGTAAGAAGGTAGGTAAGGAATGTTCACGTATTTTTGTTATACCTATTCTTATAATTAGCAAATGAAACCCAGAAGTATTGTTACGCTCGTAACAGTATTAATGTAGTAATGGGTACCTAGGTTATAAAAATATTATCTTATTCTTATGCGTATTTCAGTCGCGACAAAATCTTTGTTTCTTAGAAAATATTCCGCCACCATCATGTTACGGACTATTGGAAGGTTGTCAGATTGACCCTTTTGAAACCCTTCTTCCATCATTACATACTTAAAAACACCAGAGCACACGAGAGCAAACAACTCACCCGCGAAATATTACTACAAACGTATGATCGGCGCGCTGGAACGGTATGGCGGCGCAGCCGCATGGAATCGATGACGTCACGCGGTACTCGCGGGCACGGCGAGTTTTTAAAAATCTACGTAAAATTTCCACGCTTATAAATTCGGTAATTGTGCACCGATCGATGTAAAATAAAAACTAGAATTATGTGTTTGGTCTAGACGTTTTACCTACGTACTTAAAAGTCTAATATTGTAACCTTGTTATTTTCTCCATTACGTTTATTTACTCATGTGGTTGCGGGCCGAGCAGATTCGGCGTCCCGCGTACAATAACCCTTTTCAGCTACATTTTGTACGTAGAGTGGCAAAACAGTAGATTAAGTGGATAAGTTAGTTACAAGTGTTTGAAGTAAAAGTTTAGAAATTATTGATTAAATTAGCTGTACTAACACGATAGAGCGTCAATAAAGCTAATTAAACGTTGAAAAAAAATGATATTTTTTTCATCGGGATCGATTTTGTTTTTGTCGCATCATCAAAGGTGTCCCTAATACTATCGTCTGTCTTTGTTTTCGGGAGCGTTTCAAAAACACGCGCATTTCTTTCTTTTTTTGCACTCATCTACAAACTTAAAGCGACATAATGATGATTAAAAATTCTATTAACGTTTTGTTTTTTATTCTTAAAATCTAAGAACGAGGTTTTTATATATACTATACTAACTTCCATGAAGATATTTTTCCGTTACTTCATATAAAAATCCACTACTGAACATAGGCCTCCCCTATAGATTGCCTCATAAGGGAAATTTTGCCACAATTGCCACGCCTGGCAAGCAGGTTGGTAGTTGTTGCATCAGGAAGATGGTGCTGGCCATCTCTTCTTTCAGTTTCCTGTGTCAGTGTCAGTGTTTTCTTATGAGGGGTATTGCATATTCTTACACCGCCTCCTGTATATGAAGGTATGAATAAATAAATAATATTTTTATAAAATTTTATTAAAATTAAAATGTATATGAGTGTAGAGATATACATATATAATTATTATACATTTATTTATTTATTAGTATCACATTATATTATTATATATACAATTTAAGCGAAAAAGTGTAAAACAACGCAGGTACTAGTTGTCCAAAGATCAGAGACCGCGAAATGCTGTGACATTTTCCGCCATCTGTAAATTTAAACAATTTTAAATTAATAAGTAATCTTGTCGAATCAACTTCAGATTTAATGTATGCATATTTAAGTTAATAAATCCTTATCATATACCTCTAATTAATACAGAGTTATATAATAAAGACTTATTAACATTCTAGTATAACGATATTGCAATTGAAAAATATAACATTATCGTTTTTAGTCCTACGCTAAAAATATCGTATACTTGATTACTCCTACATCACCCTCACTCTTCCATCACATTTTTCATTCACGATCACCTCACATCAAGGTTTTACGAATCCTAATTATTTTAAAACTTGATACAGTTTGTCTTATACTTGTATAAACTTGAAGAACTACCGATCGATTTTCCTTCTGAGCCGCATCTACATGCTGTTTTTTGAGATTTATTATGAATCGTTTCGTATACAGACTCGACGACTTCCAGCCTCCCGAATATGCCGGTTTTAGGAAAGGCTTTAGTACCGTACCGTACCATAGACCACCCTTCGGTAAATGTAGGTACAGAAGACCAAATAGTACAATCTACCACTTTGCCTTGTTTATGTAATAAATAGTACAACCAAATAGTACAACCGTTGGGGAAAAAAGGTTCTCGAGTGGCAGCCTCGTACCGGTAGGCGAAGTGTAGGGCGACCCCCCACTAGACGGAGTGACGACCTGGTAAGACATGCAGGAAGTCGATGGGTGCAGGTGGCTCAGAACCGTGCTTTGTGGCATTACTTGGGGGAGGCCTATGTTCAGCAGTGGACTTGTGAAGGGCTGTAATGATGATGATGATGATTCAAATAGTAATAACCTTCACATGATAGCTCTTGGTTATTGCTAGTAAATGCTTTGGCACACCTTGGGGTAGGCCTATGTTCAGCAGTGGACTTGTGAAGGGCTGTAATGATGATGATGTGGACTATGAGAAAGCATTTGATTTCATAGAAATTTGAGCAGTATTACGGTCCCTTTGGCGGTGTCAAGTTACTAGTAGACTGTCGGTTCATCGAAGTGCAGAAGTGTTTGTACATTAGGGCTACGATAGCTATCCGAGTACAGAACCAAAGTACGAAACCTATTCAACTAAAGAGAGGTGTAAGACAGACATTCCCGGAACTCTTCACCGCTACTTTGGAAGACATTTTCAAACTACAGAACTTGAAAGGATACGGTATTATAATATACTCGTAAATCAAGCATTGCTGAAGCGGCAAATTGCTGCAGCAAATTTGAAACATGCCTACTGGAAACACAAACTTCAGGGACTTTTTTAAACATTTATATAACCCTTTTTAATTATATTACTTATATAACTCATAGTATAACCCTTTAAAAATCCACCACATGTATAAACTGAACAATCACACGCACACACAAATGCGAGCGCCCACTTACGCACGCACGAATGTTAGAATTATTAAAAAATAATTATGAAATTTCACAACCATATTATGTAAAATTCTAATATTAGATAAGTGAATGATAGAGATGATTGGGGAACTCGCAATTCTCACGACACCCATGTAACATCCCATTGAGGTAACAGTGCCTGAAAACCAGCGCTTCATGAGATCTTAGTTCCAATGTAAGCAAAGGCTGAGTCATCTTCGATTGCCTAAATTTAATTAAGAATAAGTATCTAGTTTAAATGTATATAAACATGTTTTTAAAATGTTACAATAAAGTGATATTTATTTACTTATTGACGCAATGGCGAATATATCACTCAACTTCGATTTGTAGACGATATAGTCCTTATTGCAGAATCGCTAGAGGTCCTAAGCACTACACTCAATGATCTCAATAGTGCCTCCCAATTCCAATGGATAGGCAATTCGGAATTTTTGAAGGACGGACATTCAGCCGCGCAACTATATTTAGTGTAGTGAGCAGTGCGGCTGCTTTATTGTAAGCATAAGACCACGTGGACTTGTACTTTGACAGAGGGGAACTCCTGCGTATGGTCACATTTTAAAAACAAAACTCTATTTTAATTGTGGTGTGCCTACTCCCCTTCGGTCCGCAGTGGTCCGTGTTGCTCTATGATTTGTAACACATATCATATATGAACATATAAATTTTAGCTTTTTGCTCTCGTTGTCCATTCAACTATGCCAAATCTCACACAAAAGGGGTACAAAAATATATAAGAAGATTAGTCTGTGTATAAACAATAGTATTTATTAATTTGATTACTTTCACATCTGTGACTGAGAAATTTTCGATATTTTTGGATATTCGTAACAGTATCAAGTAAATACTTAGTACTTAGTAAGAAACTTAATGATACTATATTGTAGCGGTATTCGGCAGAAGACTATCATCTTTGAAGATAAGTATTAGTTAGTGTTCAGTGTTGCAGTCAGCAGCAAGTCGTTAGCGCGAAGCGATTATGTTTTGAGATTAGAAAACTACCCGCATATTAGGTAGGGTATACACTTCCCAGCAATGCAACTACAGCAAGCGTATAAGTATCTGAAGGTACTCTTTACTAAAAGTTCTTTATCTAAAGTTGTGCTCACAACGATCTACATTAAACATTTATATGTTTATCCCCATTCTCTAATCTACTTTTCAGTATTATTGATTTATAGTTATTAGTAATTTCTGTATAAGTTCTGTTTCAATTTCTATTTGTGAGACTCCCTGTCAATAAGACAACATTTTGTACCTGGATATCTGCTAAACAGGTAAAGAGAATACCTTTTTAAATGGTAATTTAAAATTTAAAATGAAACATAATTACTAATAAGATTCCATTTATCCAGATTACACTGAATTAAATAATAAATCATGTCGTCTTTATCGGATAGTGACATTAATTTTTTAAGTGATTAATTTATTCTTCATTGGAAGTATTGGAGACAAACAAAATTTAAAAAGGTAATTGGAAAATTCTTTAATAAACAGTCTTCAAAAGGGGTTAAAAGCGCTGATAAGGGTATGATGCTAGGGGGATATTTAGATTAATGTGACACTTACTTCGATTTTGTAAATTATCGGAGACCACATCGGAAGCAGTGATGTTCTCGGGCACTTCTGTAGTGGATACCTCGGCGCCTGGCGCCCCCACCGACAACCAAGACTTCGTTAGTTTGCAAACATAGCCACACAATTATAACCTAATTACCTTACCAAACGAATTAACATGACCAATAACATTTCACTTATTGTAAAGTTAAAACAATTACATTTCATTCAAAAGCTTATAGAAAAACTAGTAAATAAATTTGTTAGTAAGCTTTAATTTTAAAATTATTAAAAAGCATAAATAATAATTTTCTTACAAATAATATTTGATAAAAATCAAATATTTAATAAAATACCTTCACTCAGAAATCTCTTATAAAAGTTTTTGTTACTTAGATATTAAACTAGCAAATATAGTTTGTTGTACATATACAAGTACAATAAAAAAGTTATGCGTTTATGTATTTTATTCTTTTATTTTTAAAATTAGTTCAATAGCTTTTTAAAAGAAATTAAAATAAGTTGTGCGTGTTGTATTGCCACAGCTTAAAGAGTCTAACAGTTGGGAAACGAATGTACTTATGCAGAGCAACGTACTCACTTAACTCTCTGAGAACTTCTTCAAAGCCTCAGAGTCGCACTCAAATCATTTAATTCGTGAGGCAGCTACTTATGCAGCCCCACCCCCCTCTCGCTATCGAGTCCGCTGGCCGAGAAACTCTCTCTCGGACCCGCCTAATAAACTAACTAACGATCTGAACTGCCTCCTGGCGGCTCAGGCCAACTCTAATTAAATTAAATTATTATATTAACTAATATTAATTTGCCTTCGTAGGCACTCCCTCAGCGGCTCGTAGCCGCCTGCGCCCTCTTTTCCCAAAAGAGGGTCGCTCACGATAAGACACAATACAGCTTAATCAGCCGGTTGCCTGTCCCCAAAGGCGGTTTTTAGAGGGTATCACTTAGGGTCCCCGGTAGGACAGTGAGTCCCTCATAACCACGATAGACCGGCTATCGTGGTATGCGTAATGCATTTTCCGCCTCCCTACGTATAGGGTAGCCCTTTAATTGCTTCGGGCGCAAAAAAAAAAGAAAAAAAGAAAAAAAGGGGGCCTTGCGGGGCAGGGGGCGACGCGACCTTGTGCCAGCACACTAAACATGTGTCATTCATTCATTCCTAGTGAACCGATCATTAAATTATTGAACCTGGTTATTCGGGTTGATATGGATTATTTCGACTTTCAGTACTCTGTGATCTGTGAGACCTGCTCGATAATGTCGGTCGTCTGACATTTACTACACACTTTAGCCATAGTAATACGTCAATTGTTTGATCCAGAACATTCAAAATATGTAATTGCAGTCATCAATACTTTGATGCGACCCGGGTTAAATGAACGAATCGTTCATGACTGACACATGTCTCCAGCGCACTTCACTAAGTCTGCTGTACAACATGCGGTTGACGCGAGCGTGTCTATTTTCTGGATGTTAGCGCTGTTAGTCTATGCGACTCTTACAGCTTCGTCTGACTCAGGGAAAGGAAAAGGTAAAAAGGGAAAGGAAATGAGGTGAGGATGATGATGAATGGTTTATGATTTGGTATTGTTACCAATAATCATGTCGCCTTTTTAGGCGTTTTTGAGCTATCTAACCGCAGTCCGAGGGGGGGGGGAGTGCGGACCCCGTCTCTGACTGCTCAGCTCGTGTCGGTCGATGGTCTGGGCGGTGAGAACCGCCCAGGAACGCGGGTGTACGGTGTGTACGCGGTGTGAGCTGGAACGCATCGTGCCCGTCTGCAGGTGCGACGCGCCCCATTTGTAATCCTAGTGATGTTTGTCCCATTTAGTGTGGGTGTAGTGTCATTGTGTGATGTGCCCGCGACGTTTGGGTCGACTGGATCGGCGGTTGAGGTGGTTCTTTTAACACATTGCGCGGTCTGCGGAGATAGGGCGTGACGTTTGCTATCGGAACGAAGTTAGCTGCGTTTACACTAGCGGGTTAGGGTGGGTTTCTACTCTTTCAAAGTAGCGTTGGGACATCTCCTTAAAGTATTCGGAGATAGATGGTAATTCACAATCATTGTGCAAATCAGAGTTCCATTGATACCACCGTGCACCGGTGGCTTTTCGGATGAAAAAGTTTTGTACTCTTTGGAGTTTTAAAATGTGGGTCTTATATGTGTGGGCGAAAGCTTGCGAACACTTGCGTAGGACATAATCGGTCTAACGCAGGTTCTGTACAGTCGGAGTTCATGTCTTAGCCACAGTTTACTCTTGCTGTTAACGAGAGGGTGTAGACGGCCAATGACTGACTTGGCTCTGTTGCGTACTACACTTATGTGCGTCGCGAAACTCATGCGGGAGTCGAACGTGACGCCTAGATATTTGGTCGATTTTTCCCAAGGGATTGGACGGTCGTAAAGAGAAATCGTTTTTGGTTTAGAACCTGCTGTTGAATTCCGTTGAAAATATACTGCTACACTCTTTTCGGGATTCACGTCAATTCTCCATTGGCGGAACCATTCACCTAGGCGATTGGTCGCTTTTTGGAGCTTTAAAGAGAGTCTATTTTTGTTGTAGTCTGAGACATAGAGTGCCGTATCGTCGGCGAAGAGTGAGATGTTCACCACGGGGTCTTTAGGGATATCACTCGTGAAGAGTGTGAAGAGGAGTGGAGATAGGACGGAGCCTTGTGGGACCCCGGCCTTGAGGAAGCGTTCCGAATAACGGGTTCCCTCCACTCGATATCGAAAAGTGCGGTTCGAAAGGAAGGCTCGTATGATGTGCACGAGCCGCGTTTAGGATGTCCAGACCTTGTCAAACGCCTTCGCGACATCGAAGAAAAGGGCTCCCGTTTTTCGAGACTTTTTCCTTGTCGGGTTTTGGTTGAAGCCAGACAGAATGTATTCTGTTAGGCGATGAATCTGGTTGGTACATGAGTGATTGGCTCTAAAGCCAAACTGCTCGTATGGGAGGAGTCTGTTAGATTCAGTGTAATGACGGAGACGCTTGTGAGTAATGCGCTCGTATAGTTTACCCAAAGTGTTGAGCAGACTAATGGGTCTGTAGCTGGAGGGACGATTACGCGGTTTACCTGGTTATGGATCCCTATTACGTCTGCTTCTTTCCAGGTGTTCGGGAAGGAGCAGTTCGTGAGAAAAGTGTTGAATATTCCTACAAGGAGGTAAATAAGTGGCGCCGAAAGGGATTTGATCACCTTGTTGCTGATGCCGTCTGGCCCAGGGGCTGATCTACTCCTAAGGCTTTTGATGGTTTCGGTGACTTCATCTACTGTCACAGGATCGAGTGGTTCGCCCGCTGGTGGCAGCGCAGACCTACGTTCTACTACCGTTTCTACCTCTAGTAGGTGAGCGGGATCTATTGGTGCGGTGGATGGCGTGCACTGGTACTCTAGACTGTCGGCTAGGCATTCGGCTTTTTCGAGATCGTCTAAGGCGAGATCAGGGTGGTCCAGCCTCACGAGAGGCGGCATCGGTGAGAATTTATCGGCTTTAAGAGGTTTCGTTAATTTCCAGAAAGCGTCTTGAGATAGTTCGATTCCTTCTATTCTTATTCTTCTTCTAATAGGTTATCCCAGCTATCATTTCTAAATTCGGCTACTCGTTGATTAATCTCGTTTTGTAGAGAACGTACCCGAAGTTTATTGGCTTCCGTGCGGTAGCGGTCGTAAGTCTTAAGCGTGGAATTCTTCACTCTAATCAGCCGTCGAACATCCGCCGGAAGTTTCGTGTATTGATGCTCGACACACGAACCGTACGGAAGCATTCTTAGACCGCTGATGTGAGGTGAGTCGAAAGGGCGCTAATCGCCCTATCGGCGTCCTCTAGCGAGTCTATCTTGTCAGGTATAGTGTCCAAATGCTGGGAGTTCGTAGACTTGAGTTTGACCTCAAGTTTACGCCAGTCGACAATAGTTTTGGTCTGAGGGACCTCACCTGCCGGCCAGCCCAGTTGTAAAAAGACCGGCCTGTGGTCTGATACTAGTTCGATAATAGCCTCTATCGAATTAATAGTAAGTCGGATGTCTTTTAGCAGTGCTATATCAAGGACGTCCGGATGTTGGTTATTTGCAAAAGGATAGCGTGTTGGACTCTCGGGAGCGATAACGTTGAAGTTAAGTCTCTCCGTGAGGTCTCTTAAAATGAATCCGTTAGGATTGTTAACGTTAGAATTCCAACTAACGTGTTTGCTATTTAGGTCTCCCGCGATTAATACGCAAGGGCCTAGGTTTAATAGAGCCGATATGTCGGTATCTAATATTCTTTTTAAGGGAGGCAGGTATGCTGATGCAACTATTATTGGCGGATGGCCCGTAAGTGCTATCCTACAGGCCGACGCTTCTAAGTTAGTAAGCTGCGGAGTATCTATCGGTACACATTGCAAGGACCTTTTGTAGTAGAACAAGGTGCCGCCTTTAGGTCCGGTCAGCCTATCATTTCTTTCTAAGGTATAATTAGCTATTTTGGGATCGTTCAAACTAGGTTTCAAGAAGGTTTCTTGCACTAGCATGATGTCGATATCATGGTCGCGTAAAAAATACATGATCTCTTCCTTTTGATCTCTGATACCGTTTGCATTAAAGAACGCGACAGTCAGAGACCTAGGCTTGGTTCTACCTATAGGTCGTACTTCCATTTTAATTATGAAAAAGTAAAAATTGGCTTAGGCGCACTGGAACGAACCTATTGCTTGGATAAGATTGATATGCTCAATGGTAGTAGCATTGAGCCTATCTTATACGGACTTGGCTTCGCGAAGTTTGCGAGCTAAGGTTGCAACTTCGGCCACATTTATATTGCTGGCGAAGTTGAACACTAACGAAAGATCAGTGTCGATGTTTGACGGTGCCTGAGGGGCGGGTTTGGGCTTCTGAGCCTGGCGATGAGGCACTGGCCATGAGGCGGCCGCGCTGACAATCGCTGGGGGCTTAACCCATGCGTTAGGTTTAGGTGCTGAAGGAACCGGAGAGCTTGGGCCTTGCCCGGAAGTCCCTTTAACTGGGGTGGGCTTGGCTGTAGCCTGAACGGGCGTGGGTTGCGGCACCGAGGTTTCTGCGACTGATGGGGCA